GTCGAACACCGGGGTTCAGAGCAGAGAAGCCGAGGAAAAGCATTCGACATTCTTGACGTTTAAAGGGGAGGCACCTGCTTATCTCCATAAAGACAAAGACTATTACAACAAAACTAAATTTCAATTCAACTCAATAAAAAAGTTAGCGGAGTGCGTTACAAAAATTTACATAATAATAATTTGTTAATAAGTTTCAGGCGTAAACTCTTACCCTTTTGAATAGTAAGGTAACCTCCCCGGGACCAAGGTTCTGTACCCGTTGTCATAAAGGATTATTTGATGTACGTTTTGAAACTTGTAACATTTGTGGTGTGGTGGCAAATGTTACTGTGGGTGTATTTGAAATTTTGTTTGGTACCGTCATAGGTCGAGTTAGTTTCACTGGCCTTTTCCCCTTCGTCCTGGTTTCTACTTGTACTACTTTAGTAACCTCTCTCAGTCGTCCTTCAGATTACTTTCCGTGTCTTGAAACTTCATACATATACACTAAGGAGGGCCGGAAATGGAGGGCAAAGAAATAACGGTAAGGACAAAGTACATTTGTAAACTATTGTCTCCATAGGGTTTGACATCGACATACATTGTCCTACAACACTAATGGGTCTCCTCGCAGTCCTGACAAAATCCGTATTCCTATCGAGAGCACTAATTGTACTACTTAGTCGGAGATACCTCTATCCTGTATACTGAACAGTAGACAATACGAATGGGCACCCAGAATCGAGTTAGACTTGATTCGTAAACTTAATGACCGAAATTTGGCCATTAAGGAGGTAGAACACTGACACATTGAGGGAGAGAACATATATCGACACTTTCCTTGGACAAGTGTTTGATCAACATGTTCTACCGAGACATACACCGTACTATGAAGGTAAAGAACGTACCTGTATTTATGTACATTGCTCACTATAAAAAGTTGTTCACGTGTACCTACTGGAAAAAACCGGTGTGTCCAACGTCCAATAATTAAGGTTTTTAAGTACAGGATTGAAGCTAAATTTGTAGTTCCCATTTCTCTTTCTCCTTTTACGTTTCGTTTTATGTAGAGTCCCTGAGTCCCTTTCTGCTTGTGACGCCCGGTACAAATTGTAATTCCGACAATTACTAAACCGGTCGCGTACAATAACTACACGCAGACGTACTCCTTGTGTCCAATCCTAGATGGTATTCGCCGTACATCTAATGAAACGAGAAGACACCAACTACTAATAATTTGTACTTTGTTGTCCACCTTGTTGTAATTTTTTGTATATACTGTAAAAAGAGGAAGTGAAATCTTTTCCCACAGCTCACATAGGATTTGATTTCCCTCTAATATTTCTTCGCGACTTCGGAGAAAAGGACAGTAGATGTCTTAGACTAGTCGAGAATAGTGCGGACTGGTGACTCCTTGAAGACTCAGTAAAGTGAGGCAAATCCTTGGAAGGGTTACTGGGGTCCTTCGACGCGCCCGGAAACTTCCCTGTAAAAGCACCACCGCACAATAACTGTTTGTCAGTAAACCAAAGGACGACAATAGGTGGTCAGGATGCGGGGTATAAAGAAGAGAACCAGAAAAGAAACATTTACGGTACACGTTTACAGTCGAATTATTCCGGACCTTATGTTCATTTGACCCAAAAGGCTATAGGTGAAACGGTAATTCAGCTTTCACGTAGATTGATTGCGTATTACAGATTCAAATTTACAAATTGGATCTACATATTACTAGTTGTCGACGTGTAGATGTCAGAAGTCAGGTTTTCCCTCTCTGTCCCTTCTCTGTTCTACCTTTTTCAAGAATAGACTAGTAGTTACGAGAAACAGTCCATTCTACAAAATATATAAAAAAGTAAATTTTATGACACTAAAATAAGGTAATCGTTAAAATCCCTGAAATAAATAACACCAAAGGGGAGACTGTAGATGAGTTCAACAAATTATCGTCAAATGAAAATTACATTAAACGCTCTTCGCCAAGTCATTACTAATAACTTTAGATACGTTTTCCAGGACACAGAGACGTCCCGACTCTGCGACAGAGGAGTGTACGACTTTTCAGTCATGGTAAAACAAATACTTTCGTTTCCCTGGTACGGACTTCGAGGTCCTCTATGCACGTCTCTCCTTTGTGTTGTCTGGACCGGTGACATTGCTACGTTTACCTCCATACAACCTCGATGGACTTGGTTGGTACCGTCCGGGTTATCGGTTTTGTCTCACCTACCAGGAAAAGAGACAGAAAACTAAGTTTACCTTAATGTAAAGAAAATCTCAATTTAAATTTTAATCCTCCTCTAATAAAATGTCTTCGATTTGGAACAAAATTTTCAGGATACCCTTTGACTCATAATTTTGTCGTCAAACTTTTACAAAATTCCGGTTTCGATTATCCGTAGTTTTGGGACCATTATTTCACCTTCTCCAAGTCACTCATTGGTTCCGACATTTACTTACCAACCTGAACTCCCTAAGGGAAAATCTAGTGGGGTGCATGGTCCGACCAGAGTCACTTCCGTTTGTTTTGGGAAGAGATTTAATTTGTATGTGTAAAAGAGTTCGTCGTCGAAATTTTTGAAGGTTTGTCCTACATTATTAATATGGTTACAGAACGAAAGTCAGGTCGTGACCTATCCCGCACGCTGGGACTCCTGGCCTGCGGGACCTGTCACCAGTCTAACAGTCTGGGGTTCCGAAGATGCTTCGGCCTCCCTATAGGTTCAAGCTATGGTACCCCCCTATTTAGTTGGTCTTTGTCCGGTTAACCTGGTTACGTGTTACAAAATACGAGGACCTCTACCATACTACATACTAACCGTTACCGCAGATGTACTAGCCAGACGAAACTACAGGGTGTTCCATTCTTCGCGGCATGTAATAGGTGACCCGGTCTTCTGTAATAGTTTCCTACAGAGGATAAACTCTTTCCTGAGCCTAGTTGAATGTCAACTATGTCAGTCTGTTCAGTCTCTTCCTGTCAGCAGCCGAGATGCTGCTGCCCCAGCAGGCCACACCATAGAAAATGGCTGATGCCCCAACAGAGTCATAAAATGTCTGAAGGAGTGCCCCCTGCACCCCGAAAGACCTCAGTCTCCTCAACAGAAAGAGTCTGCTCTGTCCCTTCTTGTACAGAGCAGCAGAATTATCAGTCCAGTCCAGTTTATTGTTCAGATGAACACCCAGGTATTTGTAGGATTTCACAATCTCAATGTCTGCTCCCTGGATTGTCACTGGGGTGGGGGGTGTTGGGGAAATATTTTCCTAGGCCCATAACTTTGATCCAGTTTATCAGTTTGACCTCACTGAGCTCAGGCCTGAAACCTTGGGCTGCTCTCAGTGTTTTGTCTCCCTGTTCTGGCCTGTTGGCGTCAGCTGATAGTAGAGATGGAGTACTCGAGTCCTGGACTCGTGACTCGACTCGTGCACTGATTGACGCGGACTCGAACTCGGACTTGTGAATTCTCGCGCATGATGACTCGGAATCGACTTGTACACTGGCGGCCCGTCCACGCTTCAACGCTTCTGCCCATTCACTTTGAATGGGGTGACGTCATGCTTTGCCGAACTGCATTGTGCGAGCATTGATTCGCTTTGCTCGCGTTGCTCGCTTCAAAAGTTGAGCAATGTTCAACTTTTGAAGTTTCGGCGGAAGCGTCAGCCAATCAGATCATATGCCAGTACAAGCTCTAGCCAATCAAACCGCGTGCTTGTGGTCCGGGGGGGCGGGGGGCGGGAGACGTTCATGCTGATGGTGTGGTCCGCGTTGTCAGACAAGACTCACCGCAGCTTCAACGTCACGGCCGCCCGTGTGGACGCTGCGTGACACTCCAACTTTGACTCGCCGATTTTGAGCAAGGTTTTTCTCTCGAGTCAGATGTACTCGCTCCTGGCGGCGCGCACCTGCGAGGGCCGAGTTCACGTACTTGCAGCCCGCTACAGAGAAGCTGAAGTCCTCCCTTTCGGTGGCGCCACCAATGGGACCTTATTTTCGGCAAAAATAATTTATGGTAAGTTGTAGGCGCCATAATGCCTACTTAGCCAACGGTTCATTATTTGTATTTTATTATTGTTACGTCACTTTTATTTGTTTGTTGAGCACTTCCCGGTTAACTGTTCACATGGGTGTGGCAGTTTGTCTATTTAAGGTACTTGTTTCATGTTGAGTGCGGATGGACAGAGGGCTGAGCCGCTCGCTGCTGTCATCTTTTCTGCTTGGACCGTTTTGTCATAGTTACTAGTGTTATCATTTTCGTGTTTATGTAAATATTCCCAAAACTATCTTGCTTCACTATGCGACTTTTCTCTTCGAAAACGCGTCACGTTTATAGCCAAGTTCAGCCTACTCGGGCGACTCAACGTAACTTGGGGATTGAGCGCCGACATAAGTCAACAGAAAAAGACGGTTGATTCGCATCCAGGGACCCGAACTGGAACGACCAGCCGGCGTCCTAAGGGTTACGGATCGCTTGGACGCTTCGGATAACGGACTTTAAACATTTCTGTACCTTTGGAACCTTCGGACCGTTTTCCTAATCGATATGGATGGAGTAGCCACGAGGACTCACCTGTATGGACACTCATTGATGCAGCGCACAACAAGTTGAAAGCGGTAGGCAACGATTATAAGTCCTTTCTTGTGTATTTTTGCTGGACACAGTTTGCGGAAGCGGGACGTTTGTATTGCGGACTTTTGCTTTGTTGGTGTGCGGGCATGTTGTGCTGTGAGCGCGCGGTTGATGTGCTTGTTATGTCGGTGAGCGGCGGGAAAGTTTCGAATTGTTTGTTTTGCTGTGGCGGGCCGGGCCCCGCCAGGTTTAAGTTTCATACCAGTGAGCACTGTCGTGTTACTTAAATGCTAAAGGGCACCACACATATTGCATCAATATGAGTGACACAAACGATGGAATGGAAAAAAGGACTGTAAGCTTACTAGTAAGAGCCTTGGCTTGCCAAAATCGAACAACTGCAACAAGAATGTCAGTCTATGGCGAGAAAAGATAATAATATATAAAAAAAAAAAAAATTAAACTGGGATGCACACAGAAATCTAAACATTCTAATGGAAAAATGATGAAATGCAAAGGATGTTAATCAAACTGGACAAATATCATCAATTACTGAAAAATTGCAAAAACAGACATGAATCAGTTATTATGTTGCTTTCCGAGACGACTGGAATCAAAATAACTGTTTTCAACAAATAACAAACATAAAATGATTTTATTGAGGATGTACAAACAATGGCTCTTGGAAACTGGGATGGTGTGTGCAAACAGTCTGATGACAGTCAATGATACCAATCGCTTGCAACACAGATTTCCTCTCATCTACCCTGACGAGGCGCCTGCCAATATAAGGAGCAATTTGAAGAACTGAGGTCAGTCAGGACGTTCTCTTTCCCCCGTAAACATGAATGCTACATC